CACTTGCCATGCCATACCAATTAACATACCTCATCATGCCATGCCAAACCATGCAATGCCATGCTGTCCCAGCCATGCCATGCCATGCCACACAACGCCATGCCACGCCATGCCATGCCATGCCATGCCATGCCATGCCATGCCATGCCATGCCATGCCATGCCATGCCATGCCATACCAGATATCATACCACACCTTGCCAAATCATGCGATGCCATGTCATAGCATAATATACCACACCATGCCAAATCATGTCATGGAAAACCATGCAATGCCATGCCATGCCGCCAAAGCATGCCAGTACATGCAATGCCATGCCGTACCATACCATGCCCCATGCCGTACCGTGCCATACCCTGCCATACCGTGCCATACCCTGCCATACCCTGCCATACCGTACCACGGCATGCCATACCATACCATACCATACCATACCATACCATACCATACCATACCATACCATACCATACCATACCATACCATACCATACCATACCATACCATGCCATACCATGTGCTTCAGGCCCCTAGCATCGATTCTGTCGCGCAAGCTAGCATGTTAATGCAAAGTCATTGACGTTCCCTTGGCAGCTTATTTGCATGTCATGGACCTGCTCATCCTCATGCCCCATGCTCATGCTCATGCTCATGCCCATGCCAACCATGCATGCACCACTGCAACTCGCCTTCCCAGCATTTTCCCTTCCGCCCTCCTCCCCAGCCATTCATTTTCACGCACTCCCTGCATGAGATGACACCCACCACCATTCACCCCTACTCTGCTCTGCTCCTGCTCCCCTCCCCCCCCACCCACTGCCACGTGGCAGCCGGGCGCCACCATTCAGCTCACAGTGGAGCTGCTCGAGGTCAAGGCGCCCCCCTCGTAGCCTCGCCTCGCACCCTTGCACCTTCGTATCCCGCACCTGCATTGTGTTAATTTATATTGCATATCTTATACCTGCCTACAGCTTACTAGTGTATTAGGTTAGTTATATCAACTGCTGGTGGTGTACCCTTTGCCTTGCCTATATCTTGTACCACTCTTTCTAGTGCAACCCCTTCTTTGCCAAAACCTCTAGATACCATCTCCTAGCTCCTAGTCTTCCTCCTAAGCCTAAGCCATGCCTCCTAAGGTTACCTACGGTAGTTGTTGTGACATGCTATCAGAGCAGGTTCGTTCTTAAGGACCTTGCCATTTTTTCATTCGCCATGGCTGCTGTCGTTGCCATGGCGACCGTCGCAGCGCCCTTCGAGACGCTTCCCCGTTGCCCACCACGCGCTGCTCGCCCCGCGTTACCCGCCCCACGCGCTGGTCACCCCGTCCCGCGCGCTGACGCGTCGCCCCGCCGCTGGTCGCGGACGCCGTCGCCAGCGCCTCCGACCGTCGCGGACGCCTGCGCGAGTGCCAGCGCCGTGCGCCAGCGACTGTCGCAATCGCCAGCGCCAGCGCCTGCGCCAGCGCCAGCGCCATGCGCCAGCGCCAGCAGCGGCCGCCAGCGCCCCCGCCATCGCTACCTTGCTCCCCGCCTCCGCACCTGCCGCCGCTCTCTTCTACGGTGGCCGTTGCGGGGGGGAGGTGGTGGGGCTCGCGCCAGCGGCTACGGGGGTGCTTAAGCCCCCTTGAACCCTCCCCACCCCACCCTCCCTCATCCTCCTCCTCATCGCTGCCCGTGCATCTGCAGTGCGTGCCGCGTTTGGGGGGGGGGGGGGGGGAAGAGGGTGTGGGGATGGCGGTTATTTTAAGGCAGCCGCCCCCCTCTTCTCCTCCTCCTTCCGCTGCACTTCCTTTACTCGTGTTTCTCCACTTCTCGCCTCCTCATGACTCTCTCCCTTCCGCTGCGCCCTTGCTTCCGCCTTCTCCTCCTCTCATCCGCCTCACGTACACCACCGGCTTCCTCCTCCTATCCAACCGTTGGTGTGTAACACCGGCAGCCTACGCCATCCGCCACGCTTCCTCCTCCTATCCAACCGTTGGTGTGTAACACCGGCAGCCTACGCTCTCCTCTCTCCGTTCTGGCAGTCAGAGGTGCTGCCGATCAGCCACCGCTGTTTCTGTGCGTATCCCAGCTACAGCAACTGCTCTTCAGGCGACCTGCTACCAGACACCACTAGCTATAGCCGTAGGCAGTTACGGGGGTGTGTTAATTTATATTGCATATCTTATACCTGCCTACAGCTTACTAGTGTATTAGGTTAGTTATATCAACTGCTGGTGGTGTACCCTTTGCCTTGCCTATATCTTGTACCACTCTTTCTAGTGCAACCCCTTCTTTGCCAAAACCTCTAGATACCATCTCATAGCTCCTAGTCTTCCTCCTAAGCCTAAGCCATGCCTCCTAAGGTTACCTAGTTGTGACACATTGGACGTGCTCTTCTGACATTTTACAAGAAAATGCTATCGGGCTACATCTGGGTTATTATAGTAGCTTCCAGTAGTGTAGTGTACTCGTATTCGCATGTACCGCAACTGATGGTGAAAGCAGGTGCAGCTTGAGAGATGAGGTTTCCAAAAAGCAAGTGAAACAACCACCTTTTTTTTTTGTTGCAATACTGTACGTTGTGGCATGGATACATAGTGAAACAATCATAGTGCATGCCCGAAGCAAGTGGACCATTCAAGTTCCTGATAACGCACTCAACCGATTGTGACATCGAAATCCGCGTGGCTTTTCTTCAACGCACCGCGGCTGAAGCCAGTTGAAACGGCGGTTGCAGAAACAGAAACGGATGTTCAGCATGACGCCATGGCGTCGCTACACGCGCTGCCACCTCACACCGCCTCGCCGCGAGCCGCACTCCGATCGAATGCCCCGTCTTTCTCGTCTCCCGATCCCCAGCCTGCTGCTCGCGCTGCTTCTCCTCCACCCCTCTCCCATCCGTCTCATCGGCCCGCCACATAGTACGTGCGCGCGCGCGCCAAGCGGATACGGCGTGGCGCGGGTGGGTGCGCTGATTCGCGAGCGGCCGCAGAAGCACCCCGAGATGGAGGACGCTTTCAAACAGCGCGTATGTGGCGGATGGCGATTGGCGGGTGGCGATTGGCGGGTGGTGATTGGATTGCTGAAAGGTGGATGTGATGGTCCTGTAGCAAGGCGACGTGCATTGCCACGCCGCACGCCCTTCTACCTCCCACACCCGCTCCCTCCAACCCCTTTCCACCGTCCTTCCCGTCCTCACTGCTCGCCGTCCCTAGGTCACCGCTACACCCCCATCCGCGCGTCGCCCCGCGTGCGGTCGCCCTCGTGCGGTCCCTTCCCCAACCCTCCATTCTGTTGACCCCCTCTGTTTACCCTTCACCCGTCCCGCTTCTCTTTCCTGCCTTCCAATCCACCACGCCCCTCCCTTGCCCACCTCCCTTGCCGCCCCCACCTCCGCCCACGCCCAACCCCTCAAGAAGCTCGTTCATCCGCCCGCCCCCACCATCTCCCTCCCACCGCCCAACCCCCCAATCTCGCTTCTTCTGGTAGAGCCCTCACAGCTTCTTCACTCCCTCACTCCACACTCATTCACTTCCTCACTCCCTCACTCCTCACTCCTCACTCTTTCATTCCCTCACTTCTTCACTCTCTCACTCCACTCCCTCACTCCCTCACTCAGTCACTCCTTTGCTCCCACTCCCTCACGGCCTCACCATCAACACCCCGCTGCGCTTCCCGCTCACATCCCTCGTCCAATTGCCCTCCCCCACTCTCGCTTGCCGCGATACGAGAAGCGCGCTGACAAGTGTTTAGATCTGATCTGCAGGCACTGTATGCGATGTTGGCAACCCCCCATGCACTCCGTCTATGCATCATCACCTTCGTGTTGTTTTCCCTCTCCCCATACCTTCGTGGCATCTCTCCTGCTCACCTCCACTGCACTGCCCGGGCAGGTTGAGGATCTGCTGGCGTCGTTTGAGAGCAGCGCTGACGTGGCGGCGCTGAGTCAGCAGCGCACGGGGTGCTCGTGCTACCACATCCGCAACAACTACTGCTGCTCGCAGAACCTCTGCCTCTGCAGCCCCATGTGCTGGAACGGGCGAGAGGTGGGTGTGAGCCCATGTGCTGGAACGGGCGAGAGGTGGGTGTGAGCCCCTGTGCTGGAACGGGCGAGAGGTGGGTGTGAGCCCCTGTGCTGGAACGGGCGAGAGGTGGGTGTGAGCCCATGTGCTGGAATGGACGGGAGGTGCTTGCGAAGTCAATCCCTTTGGGTGTCATCCAACTGCTTTTTCAACTCACCTGTTTCTCATCTGCCCCCAGAATCCAGAGCAGCTCAATGCAGTGCAAGCAGCACAAGCTTTCTGCTACTACTCGCCCATGGGCTTCTCATCTATCCTACTTTATGCTTGGATCCTCTCACTCACACCCCTCACTGAATGCCCTTCTCATGCACACACAACACCCCACCCTCCTCTCCACCCACCCTGCAGATGATCTCTCTGGGCCAGCCACAGTGCGAGGCAGCGAGGGAGAACGCACCACCGCCCCCCAACGAGGCGAAGCCCATCTTGCGTGCGGTGGGGTGCCACAAGACTGTTGAGTTCAGCGAGGCGCTAAGGGTCGTCACTGACGAGGCCGTCAACTCACTCGTGCACCTCCGGGCTGCAGGTGGAGGAGATGAAGGGGGAGAGGGGGGTGTGGAGGGGAGGGGGTGGCTGGAGACGCGGCGGCGAGTGGAGTGGCGGTTTGGGCTCACGCTGCTGCAGCGGTTTGACTACCAGGCCGTGAACGTGGCTCACTTCATAGGTGCGTTGCGTTGTGCTGTGCACATGTGCCGTTCATGCCATGGTGCGTGGCAGCTCCGCTGGCGCATACATGATCACATGACATGGCACCCAATGTGCCGCACCGCACTGTGTGGGTGCGTCTGAGTGGGAGGTATGGTTGTAGCATGAAGCTTTGCATGAGCCACCCACTTCTGTGTGACTTACTCTTCACGGACACAAATATGCTGCCAGCAGTTTTCCTGTTCTCACCCTCACACCCCCCTCACTGTTCCACCTCTCCCCCATGGCCCCACCAGGCAAGGCGTTCACGCTGCTACTGGCCAACAACTTCACGGACCCACCTGTGCTGCACGCCCTCGTCGCGCGCTTCATGCTGCCTCGTGATGACTTCACCCTCGAGCGGTACGCTACTCTGCATGGCAGCAGCACAGTGATGTCCAGTGTGCACTGCATATCAGTGCTGCACTCAATCGAGTCCGCACCGGCACACGGTCCACCCATCGTGGAATGGTGATGCGTGAATCATGCAAGGATTGGGATGATGCCCAAGTGCTGCACGAGCCGCCTCGGAAGGAGTGTACTATGTAGAGCTAGATAGAGTGATGCCAGAGTGTTGATCAGAGTGCAATAGCGCTGCCAACGAGTTCATCTGAGCCACCGCTGCTTCACCACCATCTATCCACCTTCTCCTCATTCCACCTTATTCCGTTCTGCCCCATCACCCTGCAACACGGCAGGTGGCGCATGGGGGGTGGCTACGCCATCCACGCGTTGGTGCTGCAGGCGCTGATTGAGTTTGCCCTCACGCCTCTACTCACGCCGCAGATGCACACCTCCTCTCAGCTGTACGTGCTCTTCTTCTGCTTGCCCTCATCTCAGCCCTTTGCTAAATCGCTCACCTCGCTCCTCGCACCACGGATGTACATCCCGCCACCTCCCACTTCTCCCTTTCCTCTTCTCATACGTGTTTCCCAAAGCGTACACACTGTCTCAGAGTATCCTCAATGGCAGTTGCTGTCTCAGAGTATCCTCAATGGCAGCTGCTGTCTAGAGCAGTGCGAAGTTGTGTTCTTGCCTTTCCCACCTCCCTGCCTGCCTCTTCTCCACTCTGATCTGCATCAATACATCACACAGATTTTCTCTCCCTTCGTACACCTCCACGCTCCTCCTCTTCCCCTCTCAGCACCTTCGTTTTTCTTTTTTCTCTCCCTTAAGCAAGAACCTCCAAATTTTACCGAAACTACTCATGGACCTGAAAAGCACAGCACAGCGCTGTCAAGTAGGAAAGTGACTAGCTATGTTGGTACCTTACCACATTAGACGGGCCGTTCTACCCAGTGCGGTGCACCTGCCATTTCATCTAGCTAGTGCAATACGGGCCCAACACGCTAGGGCCGCTAATCCGCGTGTTTCGCCGCTTCTCACCGCCGTCCTCACAAGACACAGCTCCATCATACCCCACAATCCGTGCATGGTGCTTGCTAGCCTTTGAAGCTGCCGGAATCGACCCCACCCACCTTGGCACCCACTCCTTCCGCAAAGGAGCAGCTACGGTCGCTGCCAGTGCAGGCGTCCCTGATCGCTTCTTCAAACGACTTGGGCGTTGGCGAAGCGAGACAGCGAAAGACCTTTACGTGACCATCTCGCACGGCCACCTTATCGCAGCATCTCGAAGCCTCCAAGATGAAGATCACACTCCACCCCCTCGCAGCATCATCGCGCCCTCACGAGGCACCGCCGAGCGCCCCTATCCATGTCTTAGAAAACCCAGTTAAAATGAGACGTTGCATTTGCAAGGCAAATCGCAAGCTTTCACAATATGTAAATATTGAAAGTGGGTAACACTTTCCAAAATTGTGTATTGTGCAAAACGAAGCGAATTGTACGGAAGCAAAGGCTTCGGCAAAACGCTAGTCCCCTCTTTTCGGTATAAAAGAGGGGGCGCATGCCATTTGACCTTCACCCACGTTTTCATTTTCAAAATTTCGTTTTTCAAGTTCCCAGTTTCAACAGGACTAAGCAAGAATGTGTCATTGAATGGAAGAATTGGGTACAAGTAGCAAACCCTAGTTGGGGTTGTACCCCATACTGGCTACCCCACTACAGCCTACCAACATAACACAGTTTAACACACCCCCATAGGCAAAGTGGGGGAGAACAAAGGGTCACAAGACCAGTCTAGCAAAGCAAAGCAAGCCCAGGGTGGATCACAACGTCACCACACTCCGAGCACAAGCAAAGGCCACAAGGCCAGTTCACATGCAGTGCTAGATATAGTACAAGACAAGCAACACAGTGATCAAGACCTAGCAAGCAAGCAACGAGATATATATAAAGGACAGTACAAAGAAAGTCAAGCAGTAAGCAAATGAGGGAATGTGGACACAAGGCCTAAGGAAGTACAGTGCCGCTGATGATCACTAGGCGGGAGCGCCTTGGTGAAGATATCAGCAGTGTTGGCCTTCGAGTCCACGTACACAAGTCGAAGCTGACCTCGCTGCTGCAGCTCTCGAGCAAGAAAGTAGCGAAGAGCAATGTGCTTCGTCCTGTGCTCCAGTCTGTGCTCCTGACACAAGGCAATGGCCGCCTTGTTGTCAACGTACAGAACTGGAGGAGATTAGGCCGCTCTCCCAAGTCAGTCAGCAGGTAGGTGAGCCAGCGTAACTCCTGGGCAGCCATGGCTGTGGCGTAGATCTCAGCCTCACAACTAGAGCCGAGAACAGAAGAAGAGCGGGTGGACCGCCACGAGACAGAACCAGAGCCAAGGCTGAAGGTGTAACCCTGTGACGACCGCTGCGTAGCCAGGTCGTCCACCCAAGAAGCGTCCGAGTGACCAGTGAGGACAACTCTGTCACGTCCTCCAAGCACCAGCCCCATGCCTGATGTACTGCACAGGTAACGCAGCACCCTCTTAGCAGCCTCCCAGTGCTCTCGCCTGTGTCTCCCAGGCGCAACGTAACGAGCAAGGATGCTAAGAGGGTACGCGAGGTCAGGTCGCGTGCAAGTCATCAGGTACATGAGGCAGCCTACAAGCTCTGGGTACGGGCCACTCGGCTCTACGGACTCGTCCGAAGGTGGAGCTGAGAGCGAGTGGCTGGTAGCCAGAGGTGTGGCCTGTGGTGAGGAGAACTGGAAGCCGAAGCGCTGAAGGACCTGCTGCACCATGTGTGACTGAGTCAGGGTGATGGTGCGGCGAGCTCTGTCCCGGGTGATCTGCAAGCCAAGGTAGCTACGCAGCTCACCCAGGTCAGTGCAGGTGTGTCTCTTCTGCAGCTCCGACTTCACACGAGCGAGTGCCTCAGTGTCAGCAGTAGCAAAGACCAAGTCGTCGACGTACACGAGAATGTAGAACGGCGGCAGCGACGTGTCTGTGCGCAGAAACAGCGACGGGTCAGCAGTAGACGGCGCGAACCCAAGAGCCGCAAGTGTAGTCCTCAGTGTGTCGTGCCACTCACGTGGCGCCTGGCGGAGACCGTAGACTGGCCGGCGGAGGCTCCACTGGGTACCAGGAGGAAACGACCCAGTAAAGCCAGGTGGGCGGCGCAGCCAGATCTCCTCGTGCAGGCTGCCCTGCAGGAACGCTGTGCTGAAGTCAAGAGAGTGAAGCTCGTAGTCACGCTGAGCAGCAACGTGCAGTAGAACCCGAAGAGTGGTCATCTTCGGGGTGGGGGAGAAGGTCTGGAAGAAGTCGACCCCCTGACGCTGACTGAAGCCTCTAGCAACGTAACGAGCCTTGAAGACAGGCGGAGAACCTGGCGGCCGCTTCACCCTGAAAATCCACATGCCATCGACGATGTTCGCCCCAGGAGGGGGAACCTCGTCGACGTAGGTGCCTGTGGACTTCCAGGATGCCATCTCTGCGTCCATGGCTGTCTGCCACTGAGAGGAGCAGGGACCCGAGATCGCCTCTGCGTAAGTGCGCGGAGTGGGGATGTCTAGTGCATCCGGGTCTCCCTCAGGGGCAAGCAACCAGGCCACGAGATGAGGTACAGCAGCCGCGAGAGAGTCAAAGTCCTCCTGCCTGTCCTCAAGAACGTCCGTGCCAAGAGCACACTCACCCCCGACGGACGGAGGACAGACAGACGCAGACTCAGACCCAGCAACAAGGCGAGCAGCGTAGTCTAGACGACAGGCAGCAGCAAAGTCAACCAACTCAGCGACCAGAGCAGACGCAGCCGAGGACTCAAAGGTAGGGTCAGTGACAACAGTAGCTAGGAGACGCGTGACAGTAGGGTGCTCAGCACGAAACCGGTCAGACTCAGGGTCCGGAACAGCAGGCAAAGAGGACGCAGGAGGAGACGGCAGAGGGACACGCTGAGGAGCAGTAGAGGGACGCAGAGTCATGTAGTGAGTGCCTGGGACAGGAGGAGGACGCTCACGACGGACACGACGACCAGTGCGAGCAGTACGGACAGGCGACGCAGGACGAGACTCAGGCTCACGACGCTCTGTAAGACCTCCTGTGGGACCAGTGTAAGGAGAGGGAGCAGGGAGAGGCGAGGCAGGCGGTAACTGTGACTGCGGCTGGACAGTCGGAGGACACTCTACGGAGGGAGGAGGACAAGGAGGAGGAGCCTGCCCAAGAACCTGCTGAAGGAGCGGTACGAAGTACGGCCGCGGCCGCGCAGCGTCTCCAGAAGTAGAAGAGACTCCAGCGTCCGGGTCCCCAGCACCAGCAGCAGCGCCACCGCTCGGGTCCTCAGCTCCAGCAGCAGCTCCACCAGGTGGGTCCGCAGCACCAGCAGCAGCACCACCCCCAGGGTCCGCAGCACCGCAAGGAAGAGCACCCCCAGAGTCGGCAGCTACAACTCCGCTAGCGCCGCCAGCTCCAGAGTCCCCAGCTCCAGCAGCTCCAGTCGTAGTGCTCCCAGAACAACCAGTCCCGGCAGCTCCAGTACCCCCAGCTCCAGCCGAGCCACTAGGACGGCGAAAGCGCCGGACGTACCAGTCACGAAGCTGCTGTGGTGTGAGAGACTGCTCAGCACCCCGAACCGGAGCACCCCCAGACGCAGCAACCCGAGGCTCCGTAGGCTCAGTAGCAGCACCCCCAGGCTCAGTACCCGCAGGCGCAGCACCCCCAGACTCAGCACCCCCAGACTCCGCACACGCCGGCTCAGCACCCCCAGTCGCAGCACCCCCAGGCTCAGCACCCCCAGGCGCCGAACTCTCAGGCACAGTACCCTCAGCTCCAGCACCCGCAGTCCCAGCACCCCCAGGCCCAGCACCCGCAGGCTCAGCACTCCCAGCAGCACCACCTGCAGCAGCACCTGAGTCACCTGTGACCTCGACAGGCTCAGCGACGGGAGGAGGGTCTACCTGAGAGACACCTGAAGGAGCAGGACCCTGAGGGGGAAGGGGGTCTACCGGAGGGGGACCAGGAGCAAGGAAAAGCGGCGGGGGAGGGAGGGGGGCAGTACGGTAGGGGAAGAGACGGTAAAAAGGGACCGACTCGTCAAAGGTGACGTCCTGAGAGGCGAAGACCCGGCGCGAGGTGGGGTGGTAAAACTGCCAGCCCGGCGCGTCAGGGACAAAGCCAAGGAAGACACAGGGAAGCGTGCGGGAGGAGAGCTTGTCCGCGGACGTATCGCGGACAAGGGCACGAGCACCCCACACCCGGAAGCGCGACGCATCGCCAACCTCCCCCGTCCAACGCAGTGTGGGCGAGGTCTCCGGTAAGGAGACACGGGGCCAGAGGTTGAGCTGATGCGCGGCGTACCGGACAGCAAACGGCCACAGAAAATGGGGAGCCGCCGCGTGGACCAAGGAGGTACGAGCGACCTCCATGACCAGGCCAATGCGGCGCTCAGCAACCCCATTCTGCTGTGGGGAGTCCGGAAGCGTGAAG